TACTCGGTCTTGTTGACTGATGTTGTAGTTTTGTTTGACATAGGCCTCAAATAAACGACAGGTGGATTATAGCCTTGTATCATGTGGTATGTACGCTTTTTTTTTTTATATAAATAATAAAGGGGTCAGGACACGAAAGATCCACAACTTAGATTATTTGTATAGATTGTGTAGATTATCTGCTATAGGTTATTTGACACAGACACAAAGTTTCAGGATTTTCAAGGCTCCAGTGATGTGATTGGCCTAAGCCATTTTGGAGCACCTTTTGGAGCAACCAAAACAGTGTTTTGGAGCAGCAAAAGAGGCCTTTGGAGCAGCCAGAACAGTGCTTTGGAGCAGCAAAAGTGGCTTTTGGAGAAACCAAAACAGTGTTTCGGAGCGGCAAAAGTGGCTTTTGAAGCAGATATTCTTATAAAAATAAAAATATTTGTTTTAAGTGCTGGACAAGCGAAGGACACTTGCTGTGTTGTGACGGAACTCGCTGTTTCTTTTTGTTTTTTTTTTACTGCTGAGACATCCCAAAAGTGTACAGTGATGTAGGCGATACTGAGCTATTCCAGAAAGAATGCTTGCCACCGTTTTACTGGTTCCCGACGTGCCAGATTTTTGTCAAAAGTAAGCAAACAAAAAATAATGGATTGCCAGCGTCCCGGCTGGTGCCTCTGTCGTGCAGTAATGTTCACATGCACGCGAGGGCAACTTCAGCAAGCTTGCAGTGGCACGTGTTTCGTCGCGCGAGCGGAAACAACGGCTGTTCAATCGAAACCGAAACCATGCCACTTCGTTCTGTCGCCAACTGGTTCCCAGAATAGTATGCAAAATGTAACTACAGCATACAAAAAAAAAAAAAAAAAAAAAATTTCAGTGGCGCGTGCTTGTTAGGCCGGCAGGGAAGGTACAAGCTAAACACGCAGAAAAAAAAAAAGAACCTGAGCTCATTGATGCATAACATCGCGAGCCAGGGTCAAAAAGTTCTCGGAGCGCTTTGTGCAACGACTGAACTTGAGACAAACAAGCGCGCTGTGTGGGTTCAGCATGCAGACATTGCCTTCTTTGCTTTAGCTCACTTCTCTTCACCAACTTTCTTTCGCAGCAGATTTTTAAAGTACCGGGGTCCCTCTCGAAAGAAAGCCTACCGAGAGAGAAATCTAGGAATTAGTATTTCGACAAGCAGTCTGAGTTAAAGAGGGATTTTTGTGATAGAGTATGATTTAAAGAAAGACAGGAATGTCAATGAACAAGTTTAGAAAGCGCCATATCTGCAGCGACGTGGGGACGGCAACACCCGACGTTGTGCGACCACGGTGACTGTGGTCGCGCGAGCGTTTCAGCTCACAAAATAACTCGCGCCGCGTAAAAACGCGGTTTTTGTTTCCCAGCATGACGGCATGGCTGGCACCCGGCACACTAGCGTCGGAGCGTCCGCATACGCCCGCGTCTATCGAGGAAAATATTGAAAAAGACGCGAGACGAGATTCCTGAGACGACGAGGACGCGAAACGCGAGACGGCGGGAAAAACCATGCAAGACCGGATGGGCGACTGATGCAGGGTAGTTTCTGTCGGGCGGCCACTTGCGCATGCACCTAGCTCGCGCATGCTCAATTACGGTTCTCAGCTTAGTTTCGGTTTTGAGAGGCGACCGAAATTGGTCTTTCGGCGCAGGCTTCGTGCAGATTATCCATATTTTGTCAAAATGTAGCAGGATGTAGCAGGGTTAGTCCCTTGGCGCAGTTTGGTGCAATTGGCACAGCAATCACATCACTGAGGCTCTAATAATTATGAAAATCAATTCTGAATGTTTGCAATTTGCAAGTGGTAACCCGGTAACCCTGACAGAACTCTGACATAGTCTGCCTACCGTAACGACAGCAGCTCATCCACAAACGACACAACTCTGATGAAGCAGTTGAATGCTCTTTTGCGGTTCCCTACCCACGTTCGCCGTGTTTCGCTTGTCAGATATTCTGGCTCCCTACTTGTGTCCGTCGTCTCCTGCCGAAACTGACGACAATAACGATGAAGCAAGCAATGCCAAATAGCCCAACGGATAGAAACTTGGGAGGGAAGTGGGTGTGAGGGAGCACGTTGGAACGATAGAAGCCCGGGCGCCTGGAAGTGCATGCAAGGGACCTATCAATGTGTTGCACCGCCTCGCTGCCAGCTATTTCTAGCGACACTGGAGGAACAAGGCACAGGTCGTCACAGGCGCTTGCAAACATGGTGGCCTCGCTGGATGGGCAGGTATGATCCGAGGGTCCTGCAACTAAATCGAATCCATTTGTAGAACTTAAAAAACATAGTCAGCAGCAATATAGCAACAGGCAATGTATTTCAGTGGTATAGTTATCTCAGATTTTATTCCTGACCCCTTTAACACTGGTTCAGCTACAACAGCCACCCCAGCCTCACTATAGTTGTTGACAGGTAGACAATGTCTCCTCTCCAGCATTCGCTCTGCTAAAGTAGAAAGAGGTGGGAGGGGCTTCCACTTTGTTATTGACGTGTCACCGACTATATCGCATTGGAGGAGTCTGCCCTGGCTTTCATGTGTATCATGTGCAAGGCCACTAACCTTAACGGCAACTTTCTAGATTGCGCTGCTGTCTCCATTCTACGTGCCATCTAAGTGCCATCACGATCTACTCAGTTTCACCTTCTGTTGTACCGCAGCCGATAATACAAGCCACTGGAGCCAATCCAACTCTTTGTCGCTGCCGGTTGACACTGTGCTCCATGTGCTGTTGCACCCAACGGAAAGGTTACACGACGCACCCTCGGCATTGGATTGGCTCTGATTGCTCGCAGCATTCACAGTAAAGTGCAGTATTGCATTTTGTATCATGGCAAAATGTTACACTGAAGCAGACATACAGTTGGTGATGGGTTAAGAACTGAGGAACAAAAAAATTCATTTCAGCCTGCCATTTGATCACTTCCTCTCGTTTACTTGTCGTCACGACCATACTAGCCTTTTTCAATATGGCGGCAAGGTGATGCCGAATTCTCGTAGCAGTTTCCTTTCCTTGCTTTGAAGCCAGCTGGGTTTCATGCAAAGTTGTGTAGTGTTCCCCCTCGTTTGCAGTGGTCTCTGTCCGACACTGTGAGAATTTGGCATTCGCATTGCCATACAAGTGATCAGTCTGTGCGCTTGCCCCTGATGGTTAAGTTAAGTGGAACGGCATCTGATGCTGCCTGCTCCTCTCCTAGCCCCTAAACTCATTGAAAGGACACTTCAAAGTCCCTTCTTTTGTTTTTGACATAAATAAAACAATGTAGCGTGTTGTCACATACCCTTCAAAAATATTGCAATGTAAAAAGGTATTTCCCTCTGCGCACATGTGGCGTTTTAAAGTTTGCAGTTTTTTATCCCTACCAACATCGCCTCTTTTGTAACACTGAATGATGGCATTTGCGAGACGCAATTTGAGGAAATGAAGAACTTGCTTCTTTGGATAAATAGGACCCCAAAAGTGTGACTGACATGTTCAAGTTGTGTCCTCACTCTTTACCCTCGCATGGCAGCAGCAGAGAAAAGAAGTTTTGAGCGACGACAAAATGGCATGGAGTTCACAGTTCGCCCCTTGACGTCACCCAGTTCTGTGGGAGCTTAAAATTTGGTTTCGGAAATGGCATTTTTTTTCTTCACAAATACATAGTTCCCAAGCTTTACATTTTGAGGGTCTTCATTTTTATTTGCCTAGGAGAATAACAAAAATGGTCAATTTTGAGCTGTCGCACAAACAAATCAAGCTCATATCAGCTAACTGTGCAGTAGCCACTGCAAGGCGATGTCAAGTTTGTGGTCACCAGCATGAAAGTGGTATGCTGCGTGAGAAGTGCTCTAGTAACTCACTGCTGCCGAGCTGCTATGCCAGATGCACTCAACAGACCCAACTAACTCTGCCGCCCCTACGCTCCGTTCACCCCTATGCTGACAGGGCAATAGAGGCCATGTGGTTGGTGGGCCATGCTTTTATTGCCTCATGTCCTCTCTGCAGATCTGTATATAAGTGCTGCAAGACTGACAATCGGCTGGTTAACCGAGCATGTAGCCTCCAGTGCCCTGTCAGCTAAGGGGTGAATAAGTCTAAAGTTGGTATATAAGGCTAAGGTTGGTATATAAGGTAGGTAAAGTTGGTAGTCGTCTACTGACCACCCTTGACCAGTCCAGTCAAGTTTTGATTTTGAGCCCTTTTTTTCCTGTGTTGTAAAATGCCCCAAAAGGTACCTCTGTTGAAACAGGACGATCCCCCCCCCCCCCCCCCCCCCCTTACTTTTTTGTAGGGACCCCCGTCAACCTACGGGAAACTTTAATCTTTCGACAGAACGCTTTTGTGACTGAGCTCGTCAAAACCTCACTTTTTTAACGCGCTTGGTCCTTCTTGAAGTGCGATTACTGAATTCAAATGCGGCGCAGAAGGTACCCGAGCCACACATCTCAAATTCTCAAACCTTCGCATTTACGGCTCTGCCGAGAACATGGGAAACACCCTGCTTGCTGCCTTCTAGTTCGAATGGGCAGCCACTTCCGTTGATTATCTTTATTATTTTCTTTTTTTGTCCCCAGCGCTACGTGAGGTAGCTAAGCGTTGACGAACTCCCTATTGACGAATCGACGATAGAACGCCACCAGTAGGCAAATTCGGTAAATCCTACCCACCTTTTACGTTCCGAACAAGCGTCCCACGGGTCTCGACATGACGAGACGGGGCCTGCTAGCTTCCATGAATGCACTGTGGACTTCACTGCCGATGCTCGTTCCCAAGTAATGAATGTTTTAAAATTTTAAGTTGACTATCGCCGATGACCACGCCGTTCATGGTGGAATGTGATCGCAAGGTTCCCGCGGTTGCTTCGGGCAGGGAGGCGAAAGATGGCGTCTATTTCCATGCTCCGATTGGTCGTGACGTCACAAAATTTCATCCAATAAAGTTCGCGTCAAAGTTACCTGCAGCCCACGACCAACTCGTGCTGCAGCCTTACACCCTGCCTGCAGCCTGTTTCACTTTACGATGGACCGCGGAGGACCCTACAAACAGTCTAAACCAATCCAATGCCGTGTGAGTATCACGTGACTTAAACCTGAAAACAGCAAGCGAGCTGGATAAGAGTGACGATAATAATCCCTGGAGAAGAAGAACAATCGGAACAAAGGACAAACACAGATCTCCAGCTGAGTTTAGATATTTTTGTTTGTTCCTTGTCCCTTGCTTGTCCCGTTTGTTCCCCTTCTCCAGGGATTTTTATCGTCAATATTGTAGCGTTGGATTGGCTGGAATGGCTTGTAGAGTCCGCTGCGGTCCATCATGAGGTAAACTGGGTGAAACCGTAAAATGCCTGGCTGATTCGGCTGAGTTGGCTGAGTCAGGCACCCCTGTCAGACGCACGGCGTGGCTCGAAGGTTGTTGTTGGAACCGTGGCACCGTGGCACCGTGGTTGGAACAGCTGCAGTTTCTCGGAAAATGACAACAAAGTTGCGTGGGAACCGTGTTTGGAACAGCTGCAGTTTTTCGAAAAATGACAACAAAATTGCGTGGTTACTTCAGTCGCGTTGTGATGTTGCAGTATTTAAGCCGTTGATTCGTGCTGAAGGAACAAAACGAGCGGCACGGCGCCCATTTGGGTCGCGTGAGATACCACTAATCACACGGCGATTGGGGGTGCGCATTGTTCTTCCCGAGTTTAGCAGCGCTGGAAGGCCTTGCGATAAGTTTACATGGTGACAGCGGGTAATCGAAGAAGCGTGTGCCAGCATATCGAGCGGCGCCCAACTTTCTGCAATGGAGCACACCGCCGAGAGCGAAGTTGTGAGGGCCGCAGCGCCCAAGTCCAAAGGTAAGCGAATTCGTGGACATCCGTCATTGCTAAGGTTTGTAGGTGTAAGCGCGTGTGCAGTACGAGAAAGCGCACTGCACGCGCAATTTATCACAAACACATAAAAAAACAAAACACTGGCAACATTAAAGGGGCCCTGCAAGGACTTTTTACTGTTTTTTAATTTGCACCGAACCTGAGCGCACTGAACGTAGTATCTTAGTGAAACTTTTCTTTTCGCGAAATTTGCTTTATTTTAAAAGTTATAGGCAATTTAGAATTACAAAAACAAGCAAAAAATAACCTCCTTCATGACGTCGTAGGTCCTGGCTTGAGTGGCCGTGAACTAGAGGAGGAATAGTGAGCTCATCGAGCGCTCACGGCCACCGCACTCCGTGTCGACGGCGCCAGAGGGCGCCACTGAAGCATTTTCTGGATAGGCTGTATGCAGCGGGCAGCCAAAGCGGCTTTCATTGCGTTTGCTGCGCGATTAAACAGTAATTCGGCATGACACTTCATTGGCCACAAACGACTGCAAACACGGGGTAAAGATCAGATCAGAATGGGAGCCACTTCGCGCTGCCATACCGCGAAACGGCCGAACCGCAAGACAAAGCCTCTCGCCGAAGGCCCTCGGAACGCTCGGAGCCGGTCGGATCCTTCTGTCCAGACGACTGCAGCGCCACCGCGTACATCCGGGATTTTTCCGTGTCAGCGCCTTATCCCACTACTCCTTTCTAGTATGCGCCGCCTTTTCCACCGCTTGGCGGCGGGTATGTTGACCGGTCATTCCTTGTTTCCGTACTTAATAGACTGCATTTCTTTCTTTTTTTCATCTATAATAGTGGACAAAAACTACTTTCATAAATAATTGAAACGGTTCGCGCCACTTATATTTTGTATTTCGACCAAAAAGAAGTTTTTAGTGGCTCTGACCAGTAGTAAGCCCAGGACCAAAGACGTCACATTTTGCGCGCTTTCGGTACCGCGGGTCGCCCTCGTCGGTGGGGGAGGTTTCCGTGTCGTCCGGTTAAAATATGGCGCACTTATATTTAGTTACTCTTTCCGTGCCTGCTGGCTTGACCGAACCCCAAGAGACGTGGAAACCGCATAAAAGGTAGACGCTTAAATATGATTGCAGGGCCCCTTTAAGTTGAGAGAGGTTACTGTGATTAAAGTGCGACGGAGTCGGCGTTTCTTTTTTTCTTTTTAAATATTAACTTAAAGGCCGACCAACAAGCAGAAAGAAGGGAACTCTCCCTCAATTCCTCCGTTCCATTTGAGAAAGAGGGAGACCCTCCTCCTCTCTACCGGGAGTAGTTCAGAGATCCGCTCCTGTGTGGAGAGGAGGGGAAAAGGGGGCAAGTGGGAATGGAAAGAAGGAAACTGGGGACCGGTTTTTTCCCCGGTAGAAGACGATTCTGTATGTCGGACTTTGAATAGAATCTTTGGGACTTTATTAAACATCGTACTGGAGCAGATATTAAATGATGAATGAATAATACATTAAAAAAAAAAAGCTCGCTCAAGGTGTTTTTTTAAAAATCGTTCGTTCGTGTCATGTGGATGATGGATGCGAGTGAAAATGCATCCTTTGACACCACTGAGATTTCGTGCAGGCACCACTAGGGATGCCGCGAACTTTTTTCGAATCGAAGTTCGATGATCGAATCAAGCGTTCGAAGGATTTCGAATTTTCAAACTTTTCATATCGCGAAATTTGACGGAAGTCGAATTTTCGAAATTGTTAAACTGAGAAGTTCGACGTTTTTCGAAATTTCGAATTTACTACACTGCAAAATTCGATGCTTGTCGAACTTTCGAACTTGATAGACTAAAAATTTCTATGATTTTCGAACTTTTGAATTTTTTGCACTAAAACGTTCGAAGCTTTTCGAACTTTCGAACTTACTACACTGCAAAATTCGATGCTTGTCGAACTTTCGAACTTAATAGACTAAAAATTAATTTCTATGATTTTCGAACTTTCGAATTTCTTGCACTAAAAAGTTCGAAGCTTTTCGAACTTTCGAACTTCCTACGCTAAGAAATTTGAGAACTTTCAAACTTATTTATCTGAAGAATTCGAAAATTATCGAACTTTCGATTTCTGAGAAGTCAAAAGTTAGACGAACTTCGAATTTTTAGGGTAAAAGTTTGAAGTTCGTCGAACTTTGAAAGACCGGCGGCCGGTTTCATTTGGATTTAAGCAGTGAGGTACATTCGTCATTTTTTTTCCGCATTTTTACATGTGGTGTCGCATTCTTTGCGAAAGACAATGTCGTTTATTTCAATCATCTGGCATGCTTGGTTTTAAAGAAATAGATTCCCGAAGGAGCGAGGAAGAACGACGGTTTTTTGACAATTGTCGTTTGTGCCATATTTGAAGCGCGCTATAGCCGAAGATATTTATGGTAGAGATGTTAAACTTTTTAAGAATGATCAATGTATAACCTAGATAAGTGTCGTCTTAAGATATGATTATTGTTGTTCAAGACGAGTTTAGAAGAAATATCCAAATATGCATCTACGGGCAATTATGCCCTAATCTTGGTAATTTTTTTCGTCAAAATTGTTTGAGGTATGACATTTAAATTAACATCACAGACAGTACATATCATTACTATCTGCAGAATACAAATTAATATATATATTGTTCTTTTCACGTTGAAGAATAAATTAACTCGGGGAAAAAATTTTCTAATATTGTTCAAATTCGGCACATCATTAAAAAAAAACAAAAAAAACATTTATTTTTTTTTTCACTTTTTTGGGACATGTTTTTTTTAGCCGGTACACATGTTGGTAGGAGCAATTTGTTTCGTAGTTCTGGACCTCTGAATTTGCAAGAATACCACACTTCCGGCGGTTTCTTGATAGTTTTTCTTTTCTCCAGCTTTTTATTTTTTGCATTTATTGTTATCTTTATTTATTTATTATGTTTTACCAATGGCACAGTTTTTTAGGTTGAAAAGACAGCTTTGAACTTCCGAACCACTAAGCATGTGACGAGTAGTGCCTTCTGACAACAAGTTTCTAACAATGACCATCTGCACCAGGGGTCTCAAACTCATTTGAGTGTGGGGGCCAGATAGCCCACACTGGAAAGGCCGAGGGCCAACGTTAGAGGGGGGGGGGGGGGTTAATATTTAAAAGAGAAGAACCTCGTGCTCTATGCTTTTTGTGAACTCAGTTTGCCAGTGACATCTTTAGATTTGATTTTATACTTTGGGCCCTGACCTTATGTGATACCAAGAATTAGAATGACACCGCCCCGTAGTGGTGCAAAACTATCGATAGTAGTATCGATAGTCGCCAAAAATCTGACTATTGATAGTAAGAAAAACTATCGATAGTACTATCGATAGTCGACGATTGTAAACCAATCGATAGTACTGTCGACGGTTTACTATCGATAGTTTTGCGACACTAGTAGTTTGCGTCGCTCCCTCTTCTCTGTTTCTCGCTTTATTTTCTCAAATGGGATACCCAACTAGCCCAAGCAGTTACCATCCCAACTTTGGTTCAGCTTTCAGTGATGACGAAGATGGGAGTTTGGGCGAAGAGACGAGGAAAGGATCCGAGCTTCGGTGCGGCAACTGTGTTCGCTCTAGTAATGCAAAACTATCGACATCACTATCGATAGTATCGAAAGTCGCCAGAAATATGACTACTGGCTCTAAAACTATCGATAGTCGACTATCGAAACACTATCTATAGTACTATCGATAGTCGACTATCGAAAAACTATCGATAGTCGACTATCGAAAAACTATCGATAGTACTACCGATAGTCAGCTATCGAAAAACTATTGATAATACTATCTTATTTATTTATTCATATTACCCCTAAAGGCCCTCGTGAGAGGGTATTACATGGGGGGGTACATAAATCGTTCCAATAGGAACTAGTGCTCAGTGAACAACATATGAGAATACATATGTTGTTCACTGTGCAGACTCAAACTCAACTCAGTTGAGTTGAGTTTGAGACGTTATTCCTGAGCTGAGTTTTCAGCTGAGTTGAGTTTGAGACGTTGTCCTGAGCTGAGTTTGAGATGTTGTCCTGTCCCCTTTTTTCTGTCTTCTTACACTTTTTCTTTCAAATTTCATCCCTCGTCTCAGGATTTTGCATCATGTACAAACTAAACTTACTATATGCCAGTGTCACTCGGGCGGCGTTTGAGCGGATTACTACCAGCGTGCAAGGGGGTGGGGAGGCAGTTTGCCAGATCGCTTCAAGGTTTTTCTGAGCCCCAAGTGCCACCTGCCTGCCCCTGGCCGTTTCGAACTGGATGAGTATCGTTAAACAGTGCGTTTGTATGATCATTACTGCACGATGCACGTTAAAGACCCCCCCCCCCCCCCCCCCGGGCTGGCGGCCACAATTACTGATCTGCACACTTCACTCTGCACTGGCAAATAATCCAGGACACTCGTCGTCTCATTTAATTGTCTGACCAACTTTGCGCAATCTGAATATCACACCCGAACATTTCTAAACCTGATTTCGTGAAAACCAGTGAGGCGTGAAATCGTTATTTGAAACTGAAACTGTGGCGGAATATGAAAACCGGACTTGAACTTTGTGCACTTGGACTTTAAAGAAATTCTAAACCTAAGTTTCTTTTTCGAATTTAGCGCTAAAAGAGAATCGAAACCTTCAAACTTTTCTAACTTTATGTAGAAAGAAATTCAAAATCTTCGAATTTCTCAACCTTCATGTCTATAAGAATTCGAAACGTTCGAACTTTTCGAATTTCAGGTCCAATGAAATTCGAAACATTCGAATCTCTCGAATTTCAAGTTAGGAAATTTCAAAATCTTTGAATTTCTCGAACCTCAAATAAAAAAATATTCAAAATAATTGAACCCCAACTTTTAGAAACCATGAAAGCTTCGAACTTTTCGAATTCGAAACTGCATGATTTTGGAAAGTTGTGAATTTTTCAAATTCGAATCTCCGTATGGTCAAAAATATCGAAACCTTTCGAATTCGAACATCAGTTCGGTTCGAAAATATCGAAATCTTTCGAAATCGAACCTAGGGTGGTTCGCGGCATCCCTAGGCACCACCAAGATTTTGTGCAAAAGCTGATTGACGTGACGACAGTGTATCTATAATAAAAGTTTAATCGTACAGAAAAGCAACAACAATTTTCATTGTACCAATTACAATTGCGTGTTAAGTATACATTGGATGCAATTTGAAAGACGAAAATATGTTACCGTATTTCGAATTGTAATTTTCGAATGATGGGCTCATGGGCACACATGTGCCCTAGCTCCAGGGTATCGAACCGAACCCAAACCCGAACCGAAAACCGGATCAAAACCATTATTTTTGACTGAACCGGAAGAAAACCGAAACCGAAATCAAATGCTTCATATTGAACCCGAACCGGAACGAAACCATAATCTGATGTGGCGGTTATCGGTTCAACGAAAATGGTGAAGGGCCAGTTGTGTCAGTAATTGGTCAAAATGAAAAAAAGCTGCGGGCGTATATTTTTCTTGTGTTCCCAAGACTAATCCTACATACTGCAAGATATTTTAATATTTTGTTTTAGAGCGCAGCTCTTAGAAGCCCGTTTCCAGCTTGAGCGGCAACGCTGTCGGCGTAACCGCGCGGTGCATTATGGGTAGATTGCCCGCAAAATCTAGCGGAAAAATTTCCCCGCTATATCTAGCGGAAAAATTTCCCCACTAAATCTAGCGGAAAAATTTCCCCGCTAAATCTAGCGGAAAAACTTCCCCGCTAGATCTAGCGGAAAAATTTCCCCACTAAATCTAGTGGAAAAATTTCCCCGCTAAATCTAGCAGAAAAATTTCCCCGCTAAATCTAGCGGAAAAATTTCCCCGCTAAATCTAGCGGAAAGATTTACCCGCTAAATCTAGCGGAAAAATTTCCCCACTAAATCTAGCGGAAAAATTTCCCCACTAAATCTAGTGGAAAAATTTCCCCGCTAAATCTAGCGAAAAAATTTCCCCGCTAAATCTAGCGGAAAAATTTCCCCGCTTAATCTAGCGAAAAGATTTCCCCGGTAAATCTAGCAGATAAATTTCCCCGCTAAATCTAGCGGAAAAAGTTCTCTGGGGGTCACGTGACCCCCCCCAGGTCACGTGGGGGTGACGTGACGTTGGGGAGTCACGTGACCCCCCCCCCCCCCCCAAGAACAGGTGACCCTCATTAACCTTTCCTCCTCCTCCTTAAGAGCTGCGCTCTAATTTGGCGTTACAGGGAGTTGTAAACGGCTTTCACTTTTTTTATTGCACACGTAATAAAAAAAACATCATCGTCTGTGGAGCTTCAACTTTCCTTTGTTTCTTGGATTGACCCTGGCGGCGCGGTAGCGGCGGCTGCGATTTCAAAGCACCGCTTGGCCGCTTGGCTACGAAATGTCCAAGTGTCGGAGCGGATTGCGCCACTCTAGGCACGGAGGCCTACGCATCCGCGAATGTTTCACCTCAAGATAGACCGTAGTTGCAGTCAATGAGCCATTTAGTCAATCGAGCACCGAAAGCGCACCACTTGACCTTCCGCTTGAGTTCAGCGACAGCCTGGAGGAAGGGGGGGACAAGGACCGCGCTGCATCGGTAGTATTGTTCGTAGGGTCGCCTGTGGTCCATTTCAATGAAAAACAATCCCTTCTTCAACGTGCTCAAAACGTTTCCTTACAAACAAACAAACAAAAAAACATGGGCTGCTGGAGGCAACGTCACTCGGCGATGATTCGCCGACGCACCGCGTCCTGGAAGGAGGTCAGGGGGAGGGTAGTTGGGGGGGAGGGGAGAAGAAAATGTGTGTTTATTTATTTTGTAGGTTTGTCGGGCTAGCAAGGGCCAGCATGTCGTCTGTTCAACCATTTTCCCATTTTTGCTTGAACTCCTCTTACTGAGCATTCGAGAAACGTCGTTCGCTGTGGTGGCATTACTGGAACTTTGTTCGGTGGCTGACATGTACAAATGACCTGGTCTGAGTACCTCAAACCGGGTCATTTGCATCATAGAGCGTTGTTTGCGATAAAAAGTCAAAGTGACTAGACAAAGCACCGCCACGAAATCTTTAGAATAGCGTTTTTCCGCCGGAACCCGAAGCGCTGTCAAGATGAAGTCGAATTTCATTATATGTGCGTGTTCACGTGCCCGGTCACTGACACATCAACCAGTCTGGTCGATGTATACATGACCGCAGCTGAACGGGATTCGATGTACCCCAACTGCGCACTCGACGTACCTGTCTCTGTGTTTTACGGCACATTTGTTTCCTCTCGTTTCCCTCTCAGCCACTCTGGTCCATAGCTGTGACATCTTCCTGGGTGCCGAAAACAAGTAGCATGTATACGAAAAAACACGTGTGCAGAACAAAACAAACCAAAACATATGGAAGGCAAGCAATCTAGCTGGAGACCGTTTTACTGTTTACAAAATCACAGCCCAGCACGTGCGTGTTTGTCGCTTCGGAAAGCGAGCAAAGCACGCGCTATGTGCCCGAACACTAAAGATGGCACTGGCCAGATGCTCTTTTTTTTTGGAAGGTCTATAGGCCCATTTCGAAAATACGCCCTCTTCTGGCAGAGTTTGAAATACTGCACAGTTGCGTGTGCAAAAGACACCTTAAAAATGGTAAGCCGATCGCTATACAAGTAATAACCTTGCCATATTAATGGTGCCCTTTGCGCACGTCACTGTGCAGAGTTTTCATATCTGCTTGAAGAGAAAGTAGTATCGGGATGGGCCTATTGCAAGTAGACTGCAGGAAGTGCTCGGTCAATATTCAAAGGTCGAGTTAGGAACCGGTTCGCGCTTATTAAAACCGGTAACCGGAGTGATATTATGTGCGCTACCCTAAACCGTAACCGAATCAGAACCAAATGCAGTATGCTACTGAACCCGAACCCGAACCGAACCGAACTGATCGGTTCGATACCCTGCCTAGCTCTATAGCAAATTTTCCATCTTTCCACATTGCAGCATGCCTTCCAATGCGGTATGTGATGTGCTTCATGATCAGCCTAGGGATGTGCCTCGTCTACTCGATGAGGGTGAATCTTAGCGTCACCATCATTGCAATGGTGAACACCACTGCCACAGACGCAAACTCAACCCACATGGTCAACATGGCGTGCCCAGCCCCCAGTAACCAGACCTCTCCAGATGACTCTAAAAAGGTGATGCTGTCCGCTATGGTCTACAAAATTCTCAGAAAATATACCTATAGGTGTGCAACAGTTAAAATACATGTTATGAAAGCGTTTCCCCGAAAAAACATTGACAGTGTTTTCCTCGCCGCAAAAGTAAACTATCCACCGCCGAATGCTCAGGATCACCACTTAAATGTAGCTCTAGTGGTCCGGACTAGATGCCAAAGTTTCAGAACTAACCGGTATCGCATTCAAAGGTTGGAAGTGGTTTCATGAAAGCTTCAATGGGAAAATAGAGCCCGCTCCCAGTAGCTGATGCCATGTACCTCCTAAATCCCTGGGCCTCATTGGCCGCCATTTCGCAATGAAAATTTCCGAAAATTACTTGTAAATTTTTATTCGGATAACGGCAAGACTGGGTGTTCACTAGTGCATACTGTAGTTTGTTTTTGCAATAAAAAAAAAAAAAGAAAACAAAATATTTTTGCGAGATTAGGTAATGCCCAAATTAGTTTGTCTGTCGCAGTCAGAGACTCAAACCGTAATCGAAACTGAAAACTTTAGGAGCGAAATTTTTTCAGTAACCGTAACCGTAACGAAATTGTTATTTGAAATTTATGAAAACTGTAACCGTAACCGTGACCGTAAATTATTTACCGGTAACCGATATTAACCAAAAAATAAAAATATTTGTTTTTGTCAAGAATAACCCCGAGGAGCGATCTTGAAATGTCGTGGCCATTTGACAGAGTCACCGTCAACGAGTGGTGCATCTGGTAATACATTTCCGTTCAATCTGGATTTCGGATTAACAATACTTAGTTGGAATCAGTGGTCGAGCCTATAATTAAAAGTCTCCTACACACCCTTACAATCGCTACATGTATTCAGTATGTTTCGCTTTGAGGGTATAAACTAGTAAGTTAGAATACTGAGATGTCCAATCAACTAGGTTCTTTCAAAACCGCCGATGTTCCTTACCTGCAAGTAGGGATGTCGCGAACTGGTTGAGGTTCGAGTTGCACCAGGTTCGCCGTGTTGAAACTTTTATGGAAAAGTTTGAGAAAGTTAGATTAGTGTTTGACTGTTATGCGCATGCGCGACGGGCTGGCTCAGTTGGCTTTGGATTGGATAGTGATGATCAGGTCAAACATTCTATTTTTAGCAATGCGCGTTACTAGAACAACTCAGTTGGGAAACTGCCATAGAGCTTGCTTTGAAAAAGTGGTTCTGATCCGTACCCGTGAACCAAACTAAGGGTGATCGCAACGCTGCCATTCCTCCCGCGGCGGCCACTCCAGGAACTGCACGGTTGCACGTATTGGTTTAGATTGAGTCGCGCAAGGACCGGTGACGCCATCTCGCAATGCCATTTCGCAGTAGCTATGTATATGAGCTTCCATATGTTTTACTCGTTGCTAAAGGGCGGCATGTTATCGTAATTAGTTCGGTCTCGATGGACGCGAGCGACCCGGGTGAGTTTCCCAACTGAGTGTCTTAGAAGCGTTCACTGTTAGTAAGTGCAGCACAGTTTGGTTGTTTATGATATAGCAAGAAAGAGTTATGTTATTTACATTATTAGAATTATGTTCTGTTGATTGTAACTAGTTATAAAAAAAGGCTCGAGGTACACCTAAGCATTTCTTACGAGTTGTGAATGTGAAAGCATGCAAGCCGCCAGTCCGCTCCCTTGTTTCGTCTGGTGCATAGTTTTCGTCGCCGGTCAGCGAGCGCACTCTCTAGTGCACGCTGACCTTGAACTCTCCGTGTCAACGGCGCGCCGACAGTCACGCAGTGCCATGGGGTGGGCGGTCGTTGAAACTGATGTGCGCAGCGGCCTCATCGACGCGCGCCAGTCAATGGGATTGAAGCCGAAAATCCACCAGCTTTACTTCGCTCCTTTGAGATCGGGGAAACTAGGTGCCGTTGCCTTGCCTTTTCACATGGTTTCATAGCTGGGAGCTGGCTTCTCTTGGAGAAAAGATTTAAGGTGCCGTTTTCGTGCTTCCAACTGATGACGTCGGCTCGCTCCATGGGTCAGTGTATGCTTTTGCATTAATAAAGCAATCTATTTCGTAAAAACGTTTTCCCCAAACCAAGACTTGCTTGTATCAAGTCTAGCCACATTGTCCACAAAGACCAACCTTGTAGAACCTGGTTAAAAGGTCGAAGTTTCGTCGACCCAGTCGAACCTTGAAGTTCGTCGTAAAAATCCTGCTCGACGGAAGTTTGCAACATCTCCGTAGACGAAGCTTCGCCTCCAATCCCCAGAGAAAAATGGCGCTACTACATAAATGCACAATTTTTCTAGCATCGCAGAATCGGTCAGCGAGAAACGTGCACTTCTATAACCATATGCATTTACTTGGAAATAGCAAACTTGACGTAGATGTAATAGCACACAATAACAAAGATTTGGGAAAAGAACGAAGAACACAGAACATATTTTTACAGCTATCTGTATCATTCGTTCCCCTCTTTAGTCTTCCTCATTTTGCACTATTGCATTTACAGTATGCTTGACTCTCGCCAACTAGTCGAGCTCTCAATTTTATTACTTTATTCCACTTAGCGGTATTTTACTTGAGGAGGGCTATAGTTCTGTTCCATCCTTCATTGTGGGCGAGCCTCTTCTGCATATGTTAGGTTGCAACAAACTGTAGCGACGAGAAGATGTGAAATGTTCTTCCAGCACCCAGTGGGAACTTTCTGAGGGTTGTTTACAAATGCTGCCGAACAACAGAGTAGCGATGTTTATTTTAATTTTTATTATATAAATTGCGATGGATCCCTGAGTAGCAGGGGTGATGTGTATGCTTGGGTATCAAACTATATAATTCAAATAGATGTAGTGAACAAGTTTTAGAGCTAAAAACATCTGCAACTTTTTACCAATTAGAAGTACTAAGACGTTTTTGAGTTCTTTTTAATGTGAATGCCCCGCTGTTGGATATCTGGGGCTTCTCTAAATCGTTTATTATAAAACTGCTGTCTAGCATTTCAATAAAGCAAAATTTTGGAATAACCGAAATAAACCGGTTTTTAGGAACCTGTAATTGATAACCGAAACTGTAAGTGTTAAAACCTTAAAAAACCGAAACGAAACTGATATAAACAGGAAACAATAACTGTAGTCGTGACTGAAAGTTATATTTTTCGGTTTGAGTCCCTGGTCACAACACCATTTGTTGAAGTAAGCATATCTTGGGGCCAGCATAGGAAGTGATTAAATAAGGAAGACAGTTTTCTATATTCTTATTGTAATATTAAAAAGAGAGGCTCGAGCTAATCTCACTTTAAAAGACAGGCAGCGTGGTCCTCGGGGAAATTTGGTATGTGCGCCAGGTCATATAATGCACTAAAGCCCAGCCGAATTGGCTTCTCCACCACGTCTTGAGCATCTTAGAAAGCCCAATTGAACGAGCTCCTCCGCTTCATCAAAGTAAACTGCGCATGAGAAGGCGACTTTCTCCCGTGGTTGTAGTTCTGCATTGCAACCTGCTGCCGACTCTAAGAAGGTTGGTCTGTTTCTCTCCCGCAGACCGGGGAGTTCCTCTGGGACCAGGTGACTCAGAGCTATGTGCTCAACGCCTTCTTCTACGGCTACATCATCACCCAAATCCCAGGTGGTTGGCTCTCTGAGGTTATCAGCCCGGCCTGGATATTAGGTGGAGGCATTGGAATCACCGCCATGCTCACGCTCTTCACCGCGGTGGTGGCGCGTGCGAGCCTGCCTGCCTTCCTGGTGCTTCGGGCACTCGAGGGGATCTCTGAGGTGAGCTTCACACAGTGTGCCTAAATTTGAGGATGTTTAAAACTGCTCGATCGCAGTGACGTGACTTACGGGCCGCATTTGCAATACGAGCTGCGAGGAAGAGGCGAAGGTGTCGATCGCCCACGAGCATCTCCAAGGTTAACTCAGTCACTCTTCCCACCATTCTCCTTGCCACGTGACAGTGCACGCAAGCGCGTGAGCAACCAATTTGCGCAGGAGGTGGCGTCTGCCATTAAATAGCAAATTATGTGTATTGTTTGAGTTACTTCTAGGCTCAATAGCTTCGCTGGGCAGGGACGTGCGGTCTCTCTCTGTTTACTCTTAGGTATGGTGGCTGGAATGCATATTCGACTGGCGTGTTTGGCGTACTGTCCCGTCCGTATGTGCCAAGAAACGGTGCCACGGGAGTCAGAGTGTTAGGGTTGTTGAACGTTGTGATCATGGCAGGTGGTCGTGGAAGTTCCAGCCAAAAAATACGAGCGATTTGAGTGTCGCTGCCTTTGCTACACTTGAGTTATTGGACTGTAGCTGTTATCGCATTGACACAAGGGGCCTTTCCACCTGTTTGCTTAGCGTCGGGCATCAAGGAAGCACGTCTAGATCCTTGTTTATCCGATTTTCCTACTTAGTCCCTAGTCGTAGCCTCTCACTTTTGTGAGAGGCTACGAAACTCGTCCAGCGGGTTGAGTTCATACGCTGCTGGCGTCGTGAGTTACGCGCATGCCGAGACAGAAATTCCCTTCCCACGGAAATGATGTACGGTAACTAGGACTGGGTGGCGATTAAAACTTTGAACCTGATTCATCGCTACCCTTTAATCGATTAATCGGTTGCATTAACCTTCAGGCATAATATCTAAGAAAGTGTCAAAACTGCACAATTCTCTTTTTACTATTTCTTGCTATGTCATTCATGGTTGAATTTGTAGCCTCACTTAAAACATAATGTTGTCCTGCTTACACACACAAAAGAGAAATATATACCATGGGTAAACTATGTAAAATATGAAATATTTTATATTATTCTTCACAACTGATAATCCCCCTGGATTACAATCAAATTGAATGCTAAAGCCTTTTATCCTGGTACACATCAGTGTTACCTTACTGGATTACTTAAATGTGCACCCGAAGTAAGACAAGCATTCTTACTTTCTCTCCAATATTTTGAAATAAAATCTCGACCGACTAACCATTGAAAAATATTTACCACATTTAAAGCATTAATTGATTAACTGATCCACTGCTCAGTTCTATCGATAACGTCTCTTCCCAGGGCGTGACGTACCCGTCCTTGTACGCCCTGGTCGCCCGCTGGTCGCCGGTTCGGGAACGTAGCTTCCTGGTGACTGTGTGCATCTTTGGCTCCTTGCTGGGCACCGTCATCACCTTACCTGTGGCAGCAGTGCTCTGCGAGCACGGTTTTGACGGAGGCTGGCCCTCCGTCTTCTACCTCACTGGTACGTGCGTTCTCCAAGTTGCCGGACCTTCACGCTTGATCTCGCTTTCCCGGCTTTGTCCCCCACTAATTGGACATATTGACTTTGCAGCGTTTGTAAAGGCTGGTTCGCACATTTCCATTTGACCGTTACTGGCTACATTGCAATCGCTTCTAACCGCTTAGCACGAGAGAGCACACCGGTGCAGTCTATTTGGTAGTCCTGCAGCATTTTCGATCTGAGTATATATTCTCTTTTTTTTCTGCATCCGTGGGCTTGGAATAATGGTATCAATGTTGTGATCAACCATTTCACATTGATAGTGCATACATTTTCAGCCTATAGGGTGTTGCAAGTGAACCTTCCGCTGTAAAACGGGTCAGAAAAATTGGCACCTGCGCATAGAAAGCTTAGGCTTTCACCGAACGTGCACTGAGCAAATCAATTTTACCAAATGAAATTAAAAAAAAAAAAAAATTAAAGACATTTACTCTTTCCTATAACACCGAATTAGAGTGCAGCTCTTGAGGAGGAGGGGAAGGTACGGAGTGAAGGCTATGCCTCTCCTCCTCTCCTGCTCGCCTCCTATTTAGGGAAAAATTTCCGCAAAACTTAGCGGGGAATTTTTTTCGCTAAATATAGCGGGGAAATTTTTCCGCTGAATTTAGCGGGGAAAATTTCCCGCTAAATTTAGTGGAAAAATATTTTCGGCTAAATTTAGCGGGAAAATTCTTTCCGTTAATTTTAGCGGGGAAATTTTTTCCGCTAGCGGGGATATTTTTTCTGCTACATTTAACGGGGAAACTTACTCATAATGCACCGCGCAATTATGCCGACGGCGATGCTGCTCAAGCCGGAAACGGGCGCCTAAGAGCTGCGTCTTAAAACTTGCCAAAGTGAAGATTGGGCATGTTTGCACCCGACCAAGTTAGTGACACTATTTATTTGTGGCATCATCTCCCTATGGGCATGGTGAGCAGACAACAGAGTGCGTTGTCTGCTTGATGCGCCTATCGGAAGATGGTGCCACAAGTGTCGTCGCTAACTTGGTTGTCTGTAACACACCCAACCTTGACTGGCAGGATTTTCGCTCTTCCAATCTTTACAGGATGAGAGCTATGCCTTGAAATTTTACACAGTAAAATTGACTTGCTCAGTGCACATTTGGTGAAAGTTAGAACTTTCTATGTGCATGCGCCGATTTTTCCGGCTCATTTTACAGCGGAAGTTTCGTTTGGGACACCCTGTTACGTGTTTTCGGATAAATCCCAAAAATTTTCTAAAACACTTGCCGGTGTATTTTTCCTCAATTCAGATTTATCTGAAAACCTCTAATTTCAAGCTCAGGATGGTAAAATAAAAAGCGAAAACTGATCTGTTTTACGAATCAATTTTGTCATAGCACAGGGTGGGTAATATCGGGCTATTGACAAAAGGGTGTGTACCATTTATGTCGTCAAGGTTCTTTCAAAACAGGTCGTTCTACTTCAGGGTCACGACAAAGGCCACCGTTCTGGTTTCCAGTTTGGAGCATCCTATATGTGCTTCTTTGAGGTGTTTTTATGACAGTAAAAGCTATGACCCTCGAGGTTGCATAGAAGGGAAGGCAGGGCGGCTGAAGCTTCTATGCCCCACCGACTACGTCCAGGTGTTTCGTTATTTCAGAGTACCGACCTTAGTTGAAGCAACACTTCTTTGAAAGATTTGTTGTGGGACAGTTAGGTAGTATTGCTAATGGCATGGGCACCAATGCCAAGCACCAGCTGGAGAAATATAATTTGAAACAGACGAATTCTTACGAATCTTGGGTATGTTCTTGTACAGTTATTATTTATTTTTAATCCTGAAAAATTGGGAACGCAGTAAGATTAAACTGTGAATTTTGGAAAATTGGGAATCTAAAAAACTATATATATATATATAAACTCCGATAAACCCTAAGGTTTCTGGGGGAAAAAAAAACCTCTAAAAAACGCCCTCTGAATTCCAGAAAAAACATAGGCCCCGAAAACACAAAATCCTACTTATAATATACATGGTAATATTTTTAATTCAAAGCAGATGTTAAAAAAAGACATCTTTATTGATACACGAATGCCGTCTTCACTATATGTTTCTTGCGCTCGGTGGGTATTCGAGGTGCGAATAACCGTCACAGTCTGGTGAGAAATTAACTACAATTTTTAATTATATTTTTAATTATTAGTTTCATTGGGCATGTTGCAATTGTAATTTTGAAGACAGCCGCCCTGGAAGGCCGCTAGGCCAACTTACACCATTTAAAAAAAAGCAACGGGTTCAGAGAAATTCGTTGACAATTTCTCTGCCTTTCTATCATCTGATTCCGAAACTGAAAGTTCCAAGCACGCCGGAAGCGCTGACAATGTGACACTTGCAGAAGTAACGGTTTTGAGACGTACAAAGTGTATTGATCTCGTATCTCCCCCGCCTGCAAACAATCTTGAGTAAAGCTCTGAGGGCAGCGATGCATTAAAACCGAGAGTGCTAAAGACTGTCCCAGCAGGCTTGCATATCCCGAGCCACATCCTGACAGCCGCAAACCAGATAAGAAATCATGACGATTTCTATGTCACGAAACTGTCACTTCTACAAGCGTCACATGGTCAGCGCTTCCGGCAGACTTGGAACTTTCAGTCTCGGAATCGGAGGATAGAAAGACAAAGAAATTGTCGACGGATATCTCCAAACCAGTTGCTATTTTCATTTTTTTTAATTGTGTAAGTTGGTCTAGCCCTCGAGGGCAGCTGTCTTCAAAATTACATGGCCCATAAAACCAATAACTAAAAAGTTATTGAACGAAGTTTAGTTAATTACTCACCAGACTGTGATGGTTGTTCGCACCTCGAATGTCCACCAAGCTCAAGAAACGTATAGTGAAGACGGTGTTCGCGTAGCAGTAAAGACGCCTTTTTTAAAAATGTTCAGAATAAAAATATTACTTTGTATAGTCAGTGGCAGGTAAAAAATTGGCCTTCCATGCATGCTTAGAAGGTGTTTTCGTATACAAACTGCTCCTTAAAGGGCAACTCCGCTTCATTTTTGATATTTAGAAAACTATGTAGCCCTCCTTAGTATCATATAGGAAGACCCCGTGTCAAATATTACGATCTAATTCCGTTTATATATTTAATAAACTGGGCCAGCAAACCTTCAAGTGAGCCAAGTCGCCGAAATCTGCCAACTCTAGCGTGCGACGTGAGGAGCAATCGTCAGCGCAGTCAATGCGACGGACTTTGAGTGGCAAACTTTGAGCCACTACGTCAGAGGCATGACTACGTCATTCTCACGTTTTGTTTGTTTTTACTTCTCGGAGCGAAATTGATTGATGATGTCATGAGTTTCTCCTCCCGGTGTTGGCTGACCGGGCGTTCATCTGATCACCGTAACGTGGATGCACTAGTTTGCGCTGCCCTGCGCGCTTATCGGTCTGTTTCTCCGCTCCCCTTCTCCTCTTTCGTCTTCTCCCCTTCCCCCTCTTCCCCGGGCCATCACCGTCCATGCCATGCGAAGCGACCTGCCCGCGTCGCGTGTCCTGTCCCTCCCTCGCTCTCTCCCGATTGTCACAAGACCACGTGGTTCGACGTGACGTGGCCATGACTCTGACGACCCGAGACCAATGTTGCCTGACGAAACCGAAGTTTCGGTTTCGTTATCAGCTGATTTTTAAATTAGGATTACACAAATAATATTCCACATTTCACGAATCCGAAGACGTAGAGTTGTTTAGTAGTGTTTTGTGAGTTTGAATCACGTGTAAGCCTAAATTTCTCGGAATTGAGCGGAGTTGCCCTTTAAGAACCCACATAGATGCTCCGCCTCCAGCATGCCCTTGTTGCCTTCTGCCAGGTTTTGGCTGCGCGGGCGACAAAGTTTTATATTGTCACGAATGACAAATGACGAGGCAGCGAATAACTGAATAAACTGAACGTTTAATGGGGTGAACTTGTGCCCAAAAGAAAATAAAAAGGAGACAGAAGATAATAGCAGAGAGTCGCGAGCGTCGAAGTCGGCGTAACAGCAGAGTCGAACGCTGGGCCGAGACTCACTCCGCTCGCCATGCGGAATCCCTTATGTACCCTTGTGGGTTTCTGGATCATTCGGCGTAGAACTTTCGGAACTCGATCAGACGAGAATGTTCTCGATGTTACGAGAAGGCCAAGTTGAAACAATAAATAAAAGGACAGTCCGCTAACTGAAATCGAACCTACACCTTCCGCGCGACAGTCAAGCGCGGTAACCACTCGGCCACGCACGCGCTGGCTTGCCAACGCGTGTGGCAATATCAGGCTGAAAGCTCGCGTTTTGGTGGGGCGCCCACAAAGCTCTTGACCTGTTGCCAACCGTAGTTATACGCAGATCCAGAGTGCTTTTAGGGCTGTTGGGATTATGTCGAGTGCAAAGCATGTATACCGTAATTACTCGCGTAATCCTCGCACTCGCGTAATCCTCGCACCCCTAATGTGAGCCACCAAAAATTGGATTTTCCTTTACCTCGCATAATCCTCGCACCCCCAAAACTGCAGCGGCAAAAGTCGCCTGCTCGCGAAACCCGCACGATGCAGGCGCCCTCCACCGCCCGCATTTTCCGGCACCGCGCCGCTCCATTTTGCCAGAGTCCTTTAATGCTCGAAGCGCCCTAAGGCGCCCTAGGCAGCCTAGCGCCATTTCTCAGATGCTAGTCACACTGTCGTTGAGCCAATTTCGCGTGCGCGCAACTAGACGGCGTTCGCGCAGCCGACGAGAAATCGGGATGTGAAGACAAGGCAACGACTGATTCGGACTGAGGGCAATATCAGCGACTTAACTAAGACTGTGTTTGCAAATGAATCTTGCTTTGTGTTGAAGCTGTGGTTTTATTGTAAAGGTAAGTCCTGTATTGGTAGTCCTCAAACCTTGTAGGTAGCTGCCGGCGCAAAAACCCCAATTTGCAGCCGCTTTTTTTTTTTTTTTTTTAAGAGCTCAACGTTTTTGCGTAAAATCTTTCCCGCGTAATTCTCGCACCCCCCAACTTTCCATCGATTTTCTGCAAAAAAAGTGAGAGGATTATGCGAGTAAATACGGTAGTTTTAGGCGAGACAGTTATTGTCACTACCTGTCAAGGTTCCTAGAGCAGCATTACAAACGAGGCTTTAGCGACATCCGCCAGGTGCTCTTTGCTAAACATTTAATTTGTTTTAAAATTCCTTTTCGTGTCTCCTTTAACAAGATATTGCCGAGTCCGATGTGATACTGCTCCTTCGAACACGTATAGACAAGAAATAAGCTTGAAATTTTGTTGTAGCATCCCCTTAAGCGCAAGCGTGTGAACCAGCCTTACCAAAGGGGCGATGTATGGTCTATGACTCTTAATACTAACAAATGTGAGTCCATGCGTGTATCTCGCCAGTCACATGAAACTCGGAACTGCTTTCTTAATCAGGCTTAGCTGGACATGGTATCTTCTTGCAAATATTTAGGTGTAGATATAACTTCTAACCTCTCATGGAAAACACATGTTCAGCATATCACCTCTAATGCTAACCGTATGCTAGGCTACCTCAGGCGTAATTTTTCATTAGCACCTGTTTCTCTCAAGCTAAATTTTTATAAAACTCTGGTTAGGCCGAAGTTTGCAGCCTCTGTCTGGGATCCCGGACAAGCCACTCTCATCACCACGTTGAAGCTGTGCAAAATAGATCCGCTCGTTTTATTTTTTTTGATTATCATTATACATCTAGCGTCACTTTCATGAAATGAAGTTCGTCACTCCCGCCCCTCTTCCTGCAATGTATGCTTTCACGCCTCTCTTTATTTCGCAAAGTAAACTTAATTTTTATAACTCTGTGCTTCGCGACAAATTAATCACCCGTCCCTTTTATATTTCTGGTCGTCGTGATTATCAGCACGAAGTTGAGGTACCTATCACTATCACATCTACATTCCATTCTTCTTTCCTTCCTCGCGCATCCCTTGACTGGAACCATCTTTTTGGACCAATTGCATCCATCACTGACAGTGTACTTTTTAGGTCTGCTTCAACCAATCATTTTTCTGTTGAGTGTGAATAACTGTACATTGTTTTAAAGATCCCAACTTTGCTCTCCCCATCTGTAATACCTTCGGGCCCTGAGGGTAAAGCAAATAAATAAATAAGTAAATAAAATAAAATAAATAAAATAAAATAAATAAATAAATAAATAGACAAACAAACAAATAAATAAATAACGGACGAACGGACGGATTCGGGAATGTTGCATTGGTTGTGTCGGCAGGTCTGCTGGGCTTTGTCTGGGTTGTCGTCTGGTTCCTCCTGTCCTCTGCGACCCCTGAGCAGAATCGCCTGATCTCTCTGGAAGAGCGGAAGTACATCGTCGACAGCCGAGACTGCAAGTTTGGAGTGCAGAGGGTGAGGCCTTCTTCTGTTCGTTCCCGCGGTCCGTAGATAACCGGAACGAAGCAAACCCCGTCTTCAGTTATCACCACCACCCCAGGGCCGGTTTGCTGATCGGTGCCGGTATCTCTCCCGGCGTGTAATATATCAGCCAGATGGCTTGCTGGTCACTTGACTGGCTCCGTGGGAAGAAAGCACCTTGCGTTTCAGCCGATTCTTCTCGGCAAATGTAAGCCGTGCTGTTGTTTTCTTTAGTTCTCGATTAACATGACCTTCACCAGAAGTAACTTTATATGCTCCTCCTAGAGTATGCAAATGCGGTTCATTCCATTTATAGTTCAAGCCCCTTCACCCTTTTGCTGCGCGCATATATTATATTATATATATATAATATACCAACTCGCCCAAGCCTCAACTTTAGCAACTTTAATATAATAGAACTTTAATAAAAGAAGCGAGGACAGACTTACCGTAGCCATTGACCTGTAACGATAGATGCCTTTCATTTTCTGTTCCCATGCAGGCAGTCATGTGAGCAGAAAATGCCTCTTGCGACTATTTTGTCTTCCGGTAGAAATACTGGTGTTGATCAGCAAACCAGTGCAGAAGGTCGTGTGAAAATAATTCGTTCCTGATTGGTTGCTGCTGCAGCAATCCGCCATTTTCAGAAACTGCCAGTCCGGAGATCTTGGTGGTGAACGCACTTGCACACCACAAACGCTGGTACGAGCCTCTTATGTGACAGCCTGTCATAGGTGCCCGTGAGTTTGTGCAATGTGAGCGTGTTTTCAAACCTGAAGCTCTAGGAGCATGAGTTCCAAAAATGGTGAATTGGGTCATCGGTGTCTACCCGCATTGATCCCGGCAATTTGTGTTGCAGTGGCCAACAAAGTGTCACCAACCCTGGAACTGCAGTAAAAATTGTCTCATCTGAAGTATGCCCAAGAGGTCTGGAAAAGGATGGGCTTATTTCTGGACATGCCATGTTTACTCGAATGTTTCAAGTAGTTTCATTGCAGAGCGCCAAAAAAGCTGATGATCGCAGTTAATGGAACGAGCCGTACAAATGATGAGGCCCAGAAATTATTTTGACTTCACCAGTGTGACCTGCACTAGGTCTTCCAAGCACGTGACAACGTTTAGTTCTTTTTCACGTCCTCAGATGGCAGTTTAGTGTCTAATTGTCGTCTCTCTATCATCATTTGCTACGCACATTGCACAGATCACAGTGATGTGCTCTCCCCGTGCCCCGCTCATTTAAGGTGTGGCAATTATTCGAGTAGGCAAGGCACCGGGCATCTCAGGATGAACATGGTCCTTGTTAGCTAACCGTGCCCAGAAGATGAAATTAGGACCTGATGGTATGAGGAATAGATCATTTGCTAAATCCACCAAGTGCCCCGGCCCACACACGATGAATCATGAAACTGTGTTCTTTCAGTTCCCCACCGATCGGTAATTTTGACCATTTCGATGCTTACACACTTTTCAGTGTAATCCAGAGTCATCCTGAGTAAGCATCGTGTAGACCCCAAAGACATGTCATATCATTTTAAAAATTTCTCGTCAATGTTGTAGTCAGTTACAGGTTAAGAAAAGTACTCAGGGGGAATGAGGGCTGGAGGAGGAGGAAGCAAACGGAAAGCTGGAGAGGAAAGAAGGAAACTTCCTTTTCCTATCTCCTGTGTTCCGTCTGCTTCCTCCTCCTCAGCCTTCCTTTTCCTTGAAAACTTTTCTTATTCATTGACTGACTATAGCATTCTTATACTGTGCATGCCATCAGCCCTTCAACCTGGCTGAGCTGCAAGAATCTTTTACAATATTATCATTCTCGTACAGCTTCAAAAACGCTGATATTAACTATAAGAAACGGTAAAAATGCTATAAACAGCCCCGCTGACTTTGAGCTAAATTCTGGTTTTGGCTGTGAATACTTGACTTTTTGGCAATTCCCGCTTAAACAACAAACACGAGAATGATAATATTGTAAGAGGTTTCTGCAGCTCGGGCCAGGTTGAAAGGTGGGTTGCATGCAAAGTATCAAAAACGCTGACCTTGACGAGACATTTTAAAAGTGATATTGCTGCACGTGCAGCTGACCAAGTAGGCAGCGCGCTCGTGGCCTAACGGTTATCGCACTTGCCTTCCCCGTAAAAAGCCAAGGTTCGATGCCTGGCCGTGGGTACACATTTTTGTTAACTCTGTAATGTGATGTTCTGGTAAATTCGAGAACCGTGTTGCTGATTTGAGGATAGAATGTTCTACGTGCCGGACCTTCTTCGCCGGTTGTTCCACAAGCCCACGCGTGTACAAAAGTTGCTCCGCGTGGCAAGCCGCAGTCTTGTCCTAGCACTCGATTCTGCTGTTACTCCGCCATCGGCGCCTACGACGCTAGCCTTTTAGAGCTCAGCTCTTAGGCGCCCGTTTCCATCTTGAGCGGCGTCGCCGTCGGCAGAACTGCGCGGTGCATTGTGGGAAACGTCCTATAATGCACTGCGGTGACGTAACGTCGCCTGGCATTTCGGTGCGAGTGACGTCACTGTGCCGAAACGTCGCAAGTGACGAAAAGTGAGTGTGACGTTTCAATGGAAGTCACGTGCCAAAATGTCACCATGACTTCTACCGAAACGCGGCGTCACGTTTTGGCATTGCGCCGAAACATCGCGTGACGATGCGCGTCTTTAGCGTGAAAGGAGGAGGGGAGAAGGAGAGGGTACGGATGAGGAGGACGGGCATATTCTCAACACCTCCTAGAAGACAAGGCCGTGGCGCTCTACTCGTGACGTCGCGAGGGAAGGCCATCGGGGCAACGCGCGTGGATCGATCGTCGTAACGTGCTTTTAGTCACATAAGCGTGTCTTATTAGCTAAATTGAAAGCTGCACATAGCAACGGGTCTCGAAAACATTTCATTACACGGCAAAATATTACACCGCTAAGTGATCGGTATGAAATGGTACGAGGAAGGCGTATAAGAGGAAACATTGATTCACGCAATTATTGCTACAGGAATGCATATTTTACACAGAAATACTTCGACAAGATGGCTAGACACGCAGTGATTGGACATCGGAATACAGGTCACATTGAAAAATCAGGTACCGTAATATCCCGAGTCATCGCCCATCCCCGAGCCATCGCCCACCCCATTTTTTGGGCCAATATCGATTTCCGAAAAAACACCGAGTCATCGCCCACCCCTTCAAATACCCCAGCGCGGACTCTGCGATCCGCGAACACTCATCCTACCCGAATGACGCGGCCGCGGACCTTACAGTTGGAGGACGTCCGTGACAAAGTAAAACGAAGGAGGGAAAGACACTTCTTTTTGTTTACGCATTTCCTCCGTGAGCGACCCCAAAGTGGTCGTGTATCCGTGCGAAAAGAAAACGATGGAGATAACAAAATAAGAGTTTGTTAATGTAACCGCGGAGTGTTAAGTCAAAGTCTGTCTCCGCCGAAGTAAGGACACCGCGAACACGCTCCTTCTCCCCGCCCGTCGCGACCACGGTTGTGCAATATTTTAGGCAAAGCCATCGCGTAAATAAAGCTTTGCTGGAACGCCCTACACAGACGTTTGCAGAGCGTCCCAACCGTGCATTGATAGCCCGCCGTGCACGGACGCACGTATGTACGCACCAAACAAGAAAGTTGCGCAAGAGCTTGCGATTGACAAGGCGCCCGACTTGGCCCGACGCCAAAGTATTTGCCAACGCGACCGCCGGCTTTCCCGCTTTCCCAGGATTGCTCTTGGTCGCTTCTTTGGTCCGCTCGTTGCGCCTGGTCGGTTTTTCTATTTTCTTGTAGACTTTTCTTTCTTTTTTTTTTACTAACTAGGAGAACATAGTGGTGACATTCTTTCACGGAACAAACGTTCGCGCTATATGCAGGTCGGCGGTGTTTCTAGCGCGTATGCAAGCAACGGACTTCGCTATAGTAAAATATTCTTTCGTGAGCATTTCTTTTTATAAAACAATGAAACTAAATCGAGTTTTGAGTTTGATATATCTCTTGTGCATCAGCGCTAGATACTCAGTGAAAAATAGGCGGTTTTTTCCGCTTTTTTTCAAGTGTTTGTGCTCACCCACCGAGACATGGCCCACCCCACTTTTTTAACGAATTTCAGGCGGTAGGGTGGTGGGCGATGACTCGGGATATTACGGTAGACATAGTCAACGCAGACACGGCTAGAGGAATGTCACTTGCGATCATGTAAGCGATGTTATCGCGTGCAGTCACTGAATTCTTGCATCATACCCCGGCCACATGGCAAAAGTAATGTAATTTCGATCAAATGAAAATATGGGCCGACAAATCAGCTTGCGACGCTCATATAATCACTCAAAACAGCGAGCTGATTAAATCCCGTATTATTTAATCAAAATATTAACTTTTCTGTGTGGCAGGGGTACTAAACTTACTATTTACAGTCAACTAATTTAATTCTCCCTATGGACTCGAGGTGCCTCAGAACAAAATATAACCTATTCTGTATACAATAATACTATTACTTTAATGCAGTTAAGATTTTAGTATAAACGTGGTAAAGGCAACAAAATAACTTTAGTATAAATAAACACATAAGCACAAACAACGCACTTTCAATAATCACTCAAACTTGTTATTTACCTTCCAGTAAAAACTAGAATATTACCACGCATAATTATAAATGTCGACGCAATAGCAAACGGATAATGACGAAGAACAAAACTCCATTCTATCACAATATTTAAAAAAAAAATTGACTGCAGCACTTTACTTGCGTCTTACATGACCAAGAAAGCCCGTAAATAAGTTGTTCCTCACCTGTCGATCGTATCCATACGTCCCACACGATCCATCACGAAAAACTTTTAACACGAACTTCAAGAAGTCTCTCTCTGTCGAGAGGTCATCAGCCAGTGTCATCGTTGACTATTTGCCACGCACGTCAGTCAAACCGTAGCAGGACTTGTTTTGCGAATCCACGTAAATGCCGTAGTATCAAGCGAACACACACACAAAAAAAATCTACCC